CTTACGCCTCCAGCATATGCATTTTTGTGTGTTCGGATCATATACACAGCAAGTGTTTGTTATTTGTTTGTACCGAGTCCCTGAGCCGGCTTTTCCCTAGACCTGGCTTAGTGCAGTAGGAGGTGGACCCATCACCTGTAATGAGAGACAGCTGTTATTAGATTTTAAGTATGACTTTGGTGTTTGGTGTAATGGTTGTGCGTACCTGACACCCGAATAGCTGGTGGGTAGCAGCCATTTTGTTCATGTCACAAGTCTCCTATGCCATTTCGTCATTAGAAGGAATAGCCCAGTGACCATCCCTCTCTCTCCCTCCCACCTCCTTTCAGCTCATATAATCCACAATCTGCTACCAAACAACCCTCATCAGTCTGGTAATAGGACAAGCAGGATTAAACCTCCTTACACATCGCGGGACCCATAAAAGTATCTTCAGCGACTAGAAAATAAACAGACATTGGGTCATAAATACCTTAGCTGTAAGTTGGTAGAATACACAACCTTGATAGACTGATTATCAGCAAGACACTAAAACTTCAACATATTTCATAACTCATGAAATAATAGCACAGCCAGAATAAAGTCATAGCCACCTTCATCAGTTATTGGATAGCATTTTAAACCCAAACACCTCTATGCTGGGAGGTACCAGAGTGGATTAGGCCTCCACACTCCTCCTGTGAGAAGTAAATATCTGAGACGTGTCATGTCTATATCCGTTGTGAAGCTAATTTCATGTTGGACTGTATTATGCAGGATAGCCGACTGTACCCTGTAGATATTCAGAGTTATTAAAACTCCTAGAAAACTGTATCTGGGTCATAAATGGGTGACCTCCCAGCAACCATCCCTTAAACCAGATGATTGGTCAGATGGTCTCAGTCAACACCCCTTTGACACCACAGAAAAAGGGAATGCCAGGATACTTTGCGAGCTCTTGTGCACCATCAACCAAGGAACATCTGTCAAATTATGAGAGCTAATAACACCTTGCTCAGTCTTGAATAAACTCTGCTAAGACCAAGGACTTTACAAGTGTTTATCTTTGCACCTCTTTGTCTTTCTGTGGCTGTGTCTTTCTTTGTGTTACTTTGTAATATCTTTGTTTTTGTAAATATTTTATTTGCACCATTTTGACCTTTTCATTTTTAAACCCTATTTTGAAAAGTGTTGAAATTGTCTCCAAATGCGCTAATGCAAACTAAAAGAATCCCTGTCTCTTGAAGAGTGCTACTGTACTATAATCTTCTGAACATACCTGTCTGTGGTGACTGTGTGTTACAGACGTGTATTCTAAAATCACAGCTGTACTGCTAAGATTGTGAGTTTCCTCCTTCCCAGTTAAAAGGTGGTGGTGGTAGCTTAAAGAGTCAATTGCTTAGTTAACTTAACCCAGTGAGGCTGATGGCACTTAGATTGTGGTCCCACGAGCTGGAAAATCTTTGTGCAGGATGCAGCTGAGAGTGGCATTGTTATGTAAGTGACAGTGTGCTGTGAGATTGGCCAATCCTTTGTCATCAGTTGGTGAGAAGGGCAGGGGTCTGGCTTCCATGTTGCACCAAATTTGGGTCCACTGGGTAATGATTAAGCACTTTTTTATGTAGTGCCCTCCTAGTTAGCTAGGGGGAGCTAGTGTCCTGATTGTTAGAGGGCTGAGTAGCAGCCTTGGTGTGATAGTCAGGAGGTCAAATTGTGGTCAGGGCTGAGAGGCTCTGCAGGCCAGCTTCTCTGGAATTCCCCCCTGCTCTAGAGCTTTGGAGGAAGGTCTAGAGGCAGTGGGTGGATCTGAGGAGTGGCTGGCTTGTACTCTTGAGGGATCCTGGCCAATCCCCAACAGGAGGCTTGGCAAGGGGTCAGGGCAACCCTTAAAAGTAAGATAGCTTGCTCAGCAGCAGGAAAGAGTTGGAGGCAGTGGTGTATTTAGGTTTTGAGCTGCTCTAGGCAACACAAAAATTGTCTGCCCCAACGGACACCATCCAACACCACCCCCCTTCCCCCTCCTGTGGAGAGAGTCTGACATTGACCAACAACGCCCCTGCCCCCCACTCGGGAGAGCCTTCCACTACCCCCCCCCCCCCAGCGATACAGAGAGACACTCATCTTCAAAGCTCCAGATATCCCTGGGAACGAGAGTCAGGCATTACATACACCATCATGCAGCCTGTAGCCTCTCTTGGATCCCACCTGGTTCCCATGGCACGTATGTCCCTTCTTTCATCCCTTCTTCTGGGGGGAGGTACGGCCCCCCTGAAAAATACCACCCTAAGCAAGTGCCTTGTTTGCCTTGTGGTAAATATGCTCCTGGTTGGAGGGGTTAGGTGGAAGAGAGAGACGGATGTGAGACTGAAGGCAGGAGCCTGTGAAGGGGGCCCAGGTGGAAAGGCACTCACCTGCAGGCAGAGGATCTTGGAAGGTGGAAAGCTTGGACTTCCCCGAACCCCTGAGAGAGGACCACCTGTGTGGCAAGGAAAGTGCGGCCCAGCTAGAAGGCTTGGTAGCAGCCACTGACCCACTGGCAGCACAGGAGAGGGACCAAGTGAGTAAACCTGCCCCTTCTGGGCCAGTAAGGGTAAAGGAGCACTCAAGTGGAGAACTGGATTTGCTATCTTACCCAGGACTGTTTCACACTGCAGTGGCAGGCATTGGATCCTCTGCCCAGGGATTCACCCAGTACAGCTGGATGAGGAGAGGAGTCATCTGAGGTCTGGGGTGGTACTACAGGAGATGCTGGATAACTCTCCAGAAGGGAGACTTTTCTGTAAAGACTTATACATATTTGCTAAGAAGTGTTGTCCTCAGTTGCCATTTCCCTTGGGCATCCCATGTACCCCCTTACCCCATTCAAGTTCTAACCTCCCTATCAAAACTTAAAAATAAAGCTCAAGGACTGGTTACTGTCTCCTGGTGCAAGTCAGAGTGAAGAAAATGTGTGTTGCCAGGTTGTGCAGATCTCTATGGGGACCCACATTTCTAGCAAATCCTAAGGGGTTAGTGCTACATTTAGCATGAAACGCATCTACCTACTGTACTAGTCCTCCACTGTACCTGTACCACCTGTATTTTGGTTTTAATGCTTCAAGTTTAATAAAGTGGACTGTTGGTGTGCAGCAATCTGGACTTCCTTTGATTCATATCAATATTTGATACATTTGGAAACTCTTTGCAACCTTCAAATCTAGGGACATGTCTAGGTGACCAAGGACCAGAAAAACAAAACTGCTGTGTTAAATTGGTAGTAAAGTGCGTTCTTTGACTTTTACCTACAGATAATCTTACAATAAAGCTCACCTGTAGGTAATAGATATTCCAGAGAGCAGCATACCCGTGCTGTTCCCTCAGAGCTATGTGCTGTGCCCACAGGAGGGCTTCATTTTAAGGCAAGTATTTTGATGCATACTAGCACATTATGTATTACCTTGCAGGGGAAAAAAAAAAGTTTTTTTCAATATACTTTACTACCACTTTGGCGCTATTGACAGACTGTGTTGTATATGTAATTTATCATTTCTCCCAAAGTTCCTTTTACTTTTTACATTGTACTTGTTCTTTCTGAAAACTCAAAAACTGACGTTTTCCTCTACTGTGCAGAGAGTGATAGGAAGTTAATGTTTACAGTAATTAGCTTGGCCGGTACTGGGCTGGCATATCTCCTTATCCGTTGTAAACAAGACTTCAGCACTCTCTGTCCTAACAAAGGTTAAAAATCTAGTAGCTAGGCTTCCGCATTGTATGTTACTGTGTCCCCTCTTTGTCAGTGAGGACAGATTTTGTTTCTCCAATTTTAAATTGCTCAGAATAGCCTGCATCCTACCCAAAGCCTGCTACAAACAAACCTAGAAAGGCAAGAAATAAATATTTTTAAGTATGCTACGTGAATTAAAATACATAACAAACTTATTGTGGGGTTTTGGCATATTCGACTGCAAAAGTGGAAATACAGTTTTGGAATCAGTTATTTAAAGAATATTTAAACCCTTTGAAATAAAAGATGACAATTGAGAACACTCCCTGGCATTGTTATAGTTTGCTTGGCACTTTTGCTGGACAGATTGGTTTGCATTTAAATGTGGAGAAAAAAATATAACTAAGGTCATGGGAATGAAAAAAGCAAGCAGTATACCAATACCATCCTTGCAAGTTTTAACTGACTACTGTATCAATACAATATATATCCTCTCATATAGGTATGCCTGAGTACTACAAATATTTTGCAGGACAGTGCTGTTTTATGAGCTTTTTATTTAACATTATAGGGTTCTTTGTAAAAAACAAATGGATGTCACATGATCCTATATTGTATTATTTCCTGAAACAGAACATTGAAAACACTTGTCAGCACATGTAACAATACATTGTATATGTTTAGTATTTATTACCCTAGAGAGTAACAGGAGGTGAAAACTCTAGGAAAATACTGTGCGACTTTAAAGTAAACCTCTCATTGCTGACCTACTTATGAAAATGCTAGTTGAATGATTATTGAAAGGGTTATGGTGACCCTCTGACTTCAACCCTTTTTGACCTTGAGCAAGTATAGTGCTCAGCAAAAATGAGTACACCCCTTTTGAAAAGTAAGATTTTAATCAGTATTTCAATGAACACAAGAACAATTTCCAAAAATTTGACAAAACTGAGTTTTATGGAATATTTGTTAACCTCATTACATGAAGTAAGGTTAATAATATAACTTAGATTACACAATCTTCAGGTTTACTCAAAGTAGTTGATGTAAAAATGAATATACCTCACAAAAAAAACTACTACATCTAGTATTTTGTATGACCTCCATGATTTGTAAGGACAGCACCAAGTCTTTTAGGCATGGAATGAACAAGATGGCAACATATTGCAAAATCTTTTTTATATTCTTCAAGAACGACCTCTTTTAGAGCCTGGTTGTTGGATGGAGTGAACTTGTCTCTTCAGAGTTCCCCAAAAGTGTTTGATTGGGTTCAGATCAGAAGACATACTTGACCACTGAATTCCTTTCACCCTGTTCTTCAGAGATACAACTGTGGTTTTAGATGTATGTTTTGGATCATTGTCATGTTGGAAAAGTGCACAGTGACCAAAGGCGCGGAGTGATGGTAGCATCTTCTCTTTCAATACAGAGCAGTACATCTGTGAATTCATGATGCCATCAATAAAATGCAGCTCCACGATACCAGCAGCACTCATGCAGCCACACAGAAGGACACTGTCACCACCATGTTTCACTATAGGCACCATACATTTTTCTTTGTACTCCTCACCTTTGCAATGCCATCAGTTCCAAAAACATTTATCTTCAGAGTACAGAGTCCCAGTAGTTTTTTTCTTTTTCAGCATGGGCCCTGGCAAATTCTAGGCGGACTTTTTTATGCATGGGCTTTAGGAGAGGCTTTCTTTGTGAACTACACCCATGCATGCCATTCCTCTACAGTGTATGCCGTATTGTGTCACGGGAAACAATCACCCCAGTTTGGCTTTCTACTTCTTTAGAAAATGGCTGTGAACTTGCATGGCAATTTTCTTCAACCCTTCTCATCAGAAGATGCTCCTGACGAGGTGTTAACTTCTGTGGATGGCCTGGATATCTCTGTGAGATGTTTACAATTTCATCTTGGTTAAATTTTTGTATCACTTTTAAGTAAAGCTTTGCTGATCATCTTGTAGCCTTCACCTTTCTTGTGTAAAGAAATGTTTTTCTTTCTCAGGCTTTGTGACATTTCTCTTCCATGTGGTTGTAGGCCGTGTACCAGGGTGAGCTCCCCAGGATACAGTGAAGTCACGAATGAGGAAAGCAACCCCAACACCAGCTTTTGCCACAACAGAATGTTACTTAGATGTGGCAAATAAACACAACCACAAATGCTGGGAACATACAATAAATTTACATACACCCAGCCCAAAGGCTGAGACCCTTGTGCTGCACAGCACGGCGCCTTCTGATGATGAAGGTAGAAAGAGTAGTAATTTACCTACTGGCGGGCACAACTAAGCTGCCACACCTTACCCGTTATTACCCTGAAAGAGCAGGAATCAGTGTATGGGTGTATGGTATGAGCTAGCCTACGGTGCAGCACAACAGCTTACAATCTTACACAAATCTATAGTATTCCCTCTCCCATAACTGGTCCTGTAGCACGTGCCTGAGTATTCCTTCTGAGCAAAACACCAGTCTGGCTTAAATTTGTAGGATTTTAACAGCTCTTCAATGTGAAATGTCACTTTAAGTTGTGGAGTCCTTCCAATGATCAGTAACAACACTTGTGGTCTGACACAAACAGAGACACTAACTAACTATAGGCCTGGATTCAGTCCCAAGGTGCCAACACTGAAATGAGGTGCGTGCACGATCTTACCGACCCAGGTCTGCTTTGCATCCACTGGTGACTCTGAACAGAACAAATGTCTCTCCAACAAGCATGCGGTCTCGCCGTATATGTTGCTCTGCTCTCATCAGCATTCCTGGCAGCAATCTCATCAGCTTCCTGGCAGCAATCTCATCAGCTTCACTTAGCTGCAGCTCTGGTTACGGAGGGATGCTCTCACACCTGGATGTCATCAGATTCTCAGCTCACACGGCCCCCCTCATTTACCATTCTCCAGAACATGGCTGCTCTCTCTTCTTCCTGTTTCTCTCTCAACTCTGTGTGGAAACTCCACCTCTTCATGAATATAGAAATATCTATGCAGTCTGAGGCTGTGTTAGAAAAACAGTGACATCTTGTGGCTAAACTGCAGAATGTCAGTCAAAACATTTAATTTACTCCACACAAGCAGTATTCAAACAATGAGAGCTGTTTCCCCATCTCACATGGTGTCCTTTTATAATCAACTGTCTGCTGAACACCTGTTTAATGAATAATTAGACTTACCTGTAGTTGAATTCTTGTTCATTTTGTTGTCTAAAATTTAGCTTTGCCCCTAAGACTTTCATTGGGGTGTATTCATTTTTGCAACATGGTCATGAACTAATTTGTTAGGAATATTTTTTTTTGTGTGTACTAATTAACAAATCTTGTTTGCAATCAATGGCCCACATTTGTGGGAGTATTTTGCAGTATAGTGTCCCACAGAAAATGTTGATTCTGAAAGGAAAGTAAAGGTTTTCTGACAAATCTGTTGGAGTGTACTCATTTATGCTGAGCATTGTGTATAGATCGAAAAATCACTTACCAGCTATACCGATTTGCCCAGTTCAGTGCCATTTTTCACACATTCTTACCATTTCCCATGCATGTACTGCACTGCATGTGGTTTTTACTTAATGTACCAGCAAATAATTACAATAGGCATTGTTGAATAGATAGATCTTTTGTCTGGAAGTGCCCACATAGTTGTTAGTTCCAGCACCCTCCTCCTCCTTGAGTTCTCAAAACATCAGCATCTGGTGGAAGCAGAAGGTAAACTGAGGCTCATGGGCTATTCCTGTGTGGACGCGGAGCTGCATGTGTGTGGGATGCAGGATACCACCCCACTTTGCTCCAGGTCCTGAGTCTAGATGTTGAGTTTGGTGCCTTGATTTGCAGGTGCTGCTGTGGAACACAACCTGAGACTTTGCATCAGTAGCTTCAGGTGGAAATAATAATATCTGCAAATAAGAGTGAGAGGGCATGAGGGGTATTCTGCAGGTAGTGGGGTTGTTAGGGATCTGGGTATGACCAGAAATGTGTGGACCGACACAGGGAAACACAGGCTCCAGGTATAGTATAAACAATACAATTTATTAAAGACTAAACAATACATAAACGCAGTGCAAGACTAAAGATAAACACAGTGCAACCAAACCTCCAACAGATAACAATAAGAACAATACTAAACGTAGTCGGGCAGGCCGGGTCGGTAGCAAACGGGCAGGCAAGGTACAAGGAGCAGGCGGAAGCGTAGTCAGGAATAGCCAAGGTCAGGACAGGCAGAGTTCATGCAGAGTCAGGATTAAAGCAGAATCAGGATCAGGCAGGAAGCAGACAGGATGCAGGTACAGGGGCTCATGAGAAACATACACCAAGGCCCTGATCACAGGCCTGGCCATTCCTTAAATACACCTGCTGTAATCAGCCTCAGGTGATGGCTCATTGCAGGAGTGAGCCTCTGGTTGCTGAGAGCACCCGCTGGCCAGCCCTGGTACTGCAGCCCACAAGGCAGGTGAGTCCCACCACCACTGGCAAGTCCATTCCTGACAGGGGTATTTGTATTGGGGGTATGCTGTGTTTAGTAGGAGAACTGCAGGGGTGGGGACACTGCAGCTGCGTTTGATTGGCTAAGAGTAGTTTTTGGAAAAGCAAGAGAAAGTTTTATATATTTTATAATCTTTTGTCCTGAGGTTTATGTGTGTCTGTGAGACTCTCACATGTAGCACAATAATTCATTTATAATTGTTGGTATAATGACTACAACAAAAGTCATTGTATACAGCGAGCAGGCTTAGGCTTTATTTATCAATGCTATTTTAAGTTATGCCCACTGATCAGTGCTACATGGCCACCTCACTGCATTCCAAGTGTACACACCTACAGGGAAGGAAGGTTCCGTGTGTTAGGGTGTGCTTTCCTTTTCCTCTTTGAAAAACTCAGAAGTCCTTCTCTGTATATACTGTATGTTTCAAGCCAGTGACAAGTTTTAATGCAAACCATAATAAAGGAGCATTATCAGAAGCATGTCAAGAATGGCAGCCTCAATGCTTTTCTCATGTTAAGCTACATTAAAGCACACCTAACAGCAGGGCCAATTTATCCTTATAATAAAAACAGGCCACTGTCACAGTCCTAATTGATGGCCCACCAGACCAAGATCCATTTCTATCCATGGGCAATTTGCTGTTATCCCAAGGTCACCTGAATCATTGCTTTACTCTGGGAGGAGAATTTCATCAGTATACTGAATATGTCTGTATACCATCCAACCAAGATCTGAGGTCTGTTAACATGGACCACCAATGTATAACATGATGCTTTCCAGACCTCCTACCCTGAATAGATCATTGTAGAGAGAGCAAAACCTCATAAATGCTGGGATTTTTAGTTTCATCAAGCAGGTGACTCTCTCCCTCTTTGTCTCTCTATCAAGTATTATTATTATACAGGATTTATATAAAAGAAAGTGACTAGAATATTGTGGCACCTATAGGGCTAAGTATACAAATAATCATAAGTGATGCCCGCAATGGGCCAACAAAAGATTGACAGCTGCCCCTAAAAAGTGAGGTGCACTTAGACTAATAAAAACGTGAATAGGTAGGCGCTAATACAACCATGCACCAAAAAAAGTGAGAGTAAATCAACTTTCAACATCATCCACCAAATATTAATCCTACAACAAAATTAATAGTGTAAAGACAAATATGTTCTCTATAACATCTAGCAAATAGTATAAATTCATAAACCTATATAAAATGTGATAAACATAATACATAATAAATATAGTGACAGTCCCATGGAGATGATGTTCCGTAGACCAAACAGATGTGCACTTTCACCACGTGCAATCAAGTGGATTTCTCGCTCACCAGAAGTGATTGACCTTGGTTAAGGTGGTCAAGTAGCGCTTTTGTATAATAAATATTAAAGACCAGCCGTAGGTTCTGATTTACGCTCACTTTTTGGTGCATGGTTGTATTAGCATCTACCTATTCATATTTTTAATAGGATTTATATAGTGCCAACAGTTTGCATGCCGAGGTCCTTGGCAAAATGTCACCCAGTTAAGTGCGCACGCAATTTTGGGGCCATAAAAGGAATAGCTCAGATGTCCGGCGGCACTGGCACACCCCTTTTGACAATGTACGTGGTACAAAATGCGTTAAGGAGGAGCCGCACGGCATGGCGTCACGCCGCCAGATCACGGAGGTCCGGCGGCCATCTTTAGATTCCAGCTGGTCAGTTTCTCATGTCAGCAATATGTGCTAACTGTTTTTTTGCTATGGATGACATGCTTCTTTCTTAATAAATAATTCAAGTAATACTACACTATGGGCACCCTTCTTTCTGGCTCTGCACCGAGCTATTAACTTTACAGAATCCCGGGTGACATCTGGCCATAACCAACCACAGAATCCAGAGGAGGGATATCCATACCAGGCTCCATATCCATCCCACCTTAAAGGGGACCTCTGGCTGATTTCAACATATTGTTTATACTGCGCATTTAAAATGTGCATCTGGTGAGTGTGCATTTTTATCACCTTCCGCATGTCACTGAATCATCTTTATATAGGTTATTATAATATTGTAATATTGTATTCTTCACTTCAGGATCAGATTCTATATCACTAAGAACTATTTCAACATCTTTTTGGGACAATAATTTATTCTTATTTATTTACCATTTTAATGTTTATTTATTGCAATC